TCTTCCAAAAGCTAAGTAGAGTATCAAGAAGAAAATTAAAAAGGGAAACTATAAATACTTTCATGGTAATTGTTCTGATGAACTTTCCTCTATGGTACCTAGGCTTTATAAATTTAAGCGCGGTACTAGATTGGCGCCTAGGTCTCATCATTTTAAAGTTGAAATGGCGAGACGTAAGTGAAAGTTCGATGCTGACAATTTCTTTTATCGTCGTCCTGGTTATGTCAATAAAGTACATCCGGCAGCAAAGCCTCTAATTGGGAGATTGGAGATTTTCAGGGGCGTGGAACCACTTCTTCACTGGTTTTGATCCCAGGTTCACTTTGACACGAGGGCATCATCATCGTCATCATCATCATCATCATCATAATACCCTTGATTTTTGCAATCGTAAGTGGAATCCGAATGCAGAGGCCATATTGAATCTCCTCCACAACGGTCTATCAACGGCAGCCACCAGCAATTCTGGTTCCAGTCATACTTGTCCATTGTTTGATATTGTCTAACCAGTTTTTTTCCGTTGGCGTCTTCTCCTACGTCCACTTTCAATGGTGCCTTGCATGATGGTCTTGCACAAGCTGTAGTGTCTTGTAACGTGTCCAAACCACGCCATTTTCCTTCGTTTGGCAGTGGCGAAAAAAAGTTCTTGGTGGCCCAGAAAGCTTTTAAACCTTTTCCGCACAAACCATAACCCGAGTACAGTTATGAGCAAATAGTGAACAGCAATCAACAGTATATTTTTACAACAAAATAGCAATCAACGCAAAACTATATATATATATATATATATATATATATATATATATGCATTTCATTAAAAACTACAGACAAGGTACTACGATTAAGCTTTTTATTTAATTTTTCTTGTGTTCGAACAAGAGCTTTTTTTTGTGGACAAAGAGTGTGTAAAAACTGTCCAAATGTTTTATATTTCCGACCGCTTTCGGCTATACCTTTAGCCATTATCAAGGATGATTCAATTTTTCAGCTTAATTGAGTGTGTGCATTATGTGTATGTTTTAGTGTGTGGTAGGGATGTTTTTAATTTCCGAATACGGTTAGCAAATTAAAAATATCCCTACCACAAAGCGCTCGGAAATATAAAACATTTGGACAGTTCTTACACACCCTTTGTCCATAAAAGAAAGATCTTGTTAGAACACAAGAAAAAATAAATAAAAAGCTTAACCGTAGTACCTTGTCTGTCGTTTTTAATGAAACATGCATAAAAGAAGGATTGTTTCCTAAATATACAATTATATATATATTCATTAAATAATGAAACATGCATAAAAGAAGGATTGCTGCCTAAATATACAACTCTCTCTCTCTCTCTCTCTCTCTCTCTATATATATATATATATATATATATATATATATATATATTGTATATTTATGAAGCAATCCTTCTTTTATGCATGTTTCATTAAAAATGACAGACAAGGTACTACGGTAGATCATTATATATATATATATATATATATATATATATATATATATATGCATGTATAATGATCTACAAATTATATATCTAAAAACATACCTCTACCCTGAGAGTATAAAATTAATAAGATATTCTGAGCTGAAAACATAAAATTACGTAGAGAATATTTAGAATTCGGCATTAAATAACCCATAGAGGTGTTGATATGCGGCTAAACAAAATCAACCAACCAAAAGTATCTATTTATAGTAAAATTACTAATAATATATATTTAAAGCAAAATTACCGACAATATATTTCATCTGTAGTTGAAGGCATACAACTGCATTCAAAATATTTTAGATTTTGGCATTAAATAACCCATAGAGGTGTTGATATGCCGCTAAACAAAATCAAACCAACCAACATTCAAAAGCTAAGCAAAGTAAACTGAAACATGAAGATTTCATTAGAAACAAAGAAAAGAGTACTGACTGTTATATAAAATCGCTCCTCCTCTATGATAGGTTATGCCGGGCAATCTTCTCGCAGGTGAAGAAGAGACTTGAGCCAACAGAAATGTGTCTCTACAGAGCGAGGCGGAGAATAACAGACGGGGCACGTGAGTGACGACGAAGGAAAATGGACACATAAAGGACACTTTTGCTTAAATTCAGAAAGCGACATTTGAAACTACTAAGACACATAATGAGGAAAGAGTGCTTGGAGAATTTGGCACTCACAATACATTCCTGAACCCAAGAGGGGGTTGGGGGCAGCGAGTGGTCTGTCTAACGAACTCGTGCAGATTGGTCTTAGAACAGGAGGTGGGTGGGGGTTAGGAATAGTAAGAGGGCAGACATTCCTCAGGATAGGATAGGAAGCTGTAGAGAGCCATAATCAGCAACTTTTTGAAGGGGCACATTAAAGATGGAGGGAGTCTTTCATAAAATATCGATATTTGGTCATTTGACAGATTTTGGGAAGGGTGGTGGAGGTCATGCCAAGAACGTTTCATCACACCGTCGTGGATACACAAACCTACTGAGAAATAGAAACGAAGGCACACACACCCACACACACAGATCCTCCGACTGACGCCAATTCAGCCGGGTTTCGATCCTAGCTAGAGGCAACCTGACGTCTAGCCACACTGATGAGCTATGATACAGCGAAACAGTCTGTTGGTGGATGACAATATATGTGCTTCCGAAAATTATATGGGTTGAGCTCTCGGGGGAGAAAATGTGAGTTTGTAAAAAGTGGCTATTACTGCTTCTAATGCAAGACTCTTCGATAAAACGAATCAAGTTCTCTCATTCATTGGCGTGTTTATCTAAAAATAAATACGCTTAAATTCACCTTGATCCGAGCCGTGCGCAAACGGCTTAGGGGTAGATTATCCGACTGACTCCAATTCAGTCGGGTTTCAATCCGAGCTAGAGGCAACCGGAGGTCGAGCCACACTGATGAGCTGTGATACAGTGAAACAGTCTGTCTGTGGATGGCAATATATATATATATATATATATATATATATATATGTTGTTTAGAATTTATGATATTTATGGTAGAAAGCTTCAAGCTTGGCCAGCGGAATTAACACTGCATGGCGACTGTCAGTTTCATGCCTCAGGTAAGCCGTCAGTTCGAGGCAGTCATCATCGTGTTGATTTCAACATCTATCTATCTATCTATCTATCTATCTATCTATCTATCTATCTATCTATGTGCTTGTTCATATCTAAAGATATCTTTTGTCTTACCGTCCCCGGCTCCCTTTCTGAACAGACGGCGATAGATACAAATATATTGGGGCATATCGATCGATAGATAGGTATAGACAAAATGATATAGTTCGAAAAGAAGAGCATGATATATATATATATATATATATATATATAGAGAGAGAGAGAGAGAGAAAGATATATATATATATAGATAGATAGATAGATAGATAGGTAGATAAGAACAGACAGATAGATATATGAACCGAGTGTGATAGCTAAATCGATAGCTGGTTAGATAACTAGATAGATAAAATATTCTGAATATATATATATATATATATATATATATATGAATATTCTGAATAGATATTCATACAGAGATAGATAAATATTAACACAATGATATGTATATATATATATATATATATATATATATAGAGAGAGATAGATAGATAGATAGATAGATAGATAGATAGATAGATAGATAGGTCAATATTCCAAGTGATAAGCTCTTCAACGGTCGTTGGTACTATGGTAACCCACTCCAACCTGTCGAATATCACGTTAAGTAGGCGACGCCAAGTTATCCCGCATGGCATCCAACGATTTTTGAAAATTGCAGAAGATGTGTACGTGCATGTGTGTCTGTGTGTG